TGTGTCACAACAACGAACTTTTTTTATCTTTAACACGAATTGAAGATGTTTAAACCGTTTGTTAAGATTGAGAGTTACTGTCCTAAGTATTCCAACTACTCTTGCAGTGAACAAAACACGGGTGAGGACAATCAAATGTATTTAATCACAAAATTACAGACTACCTCATTCAATTCTGATAACCATACAATGAACAGGTAATTTGAAAAATAACCATTAATTGTTTCAATCTTCATTGTTCCTTCTGTAAATATTAATTCATCTTCTCTAATCTCATTGTTCATGCATTTTTGTACCGATTGAGCTTCGTTCTTCTTCTTTCCTTATCGGTCATCTGCCAAAATACATTCTATGTCTCACCATCACCATATACTGTGGTGTGATTTACTTATATCCATATAAGTAGTATATGGTGTTGGTCAGACATAGAATGTATTTTGGCAGAAGACCGATGACGAAAGAACTGAAACGAAGCGCAATCGGTTGTAAAATGCACGAACAATGGAATTAGAGAAGAAACAGTGAAGATTGAGACTATTGGTTGTTAATTTGCAAATTAACTGTCCATTGTATGGTTTTCAGAATTTACCGAGTTAGTTTGTAATGTTTGCTTAAATACATTCGATTATCCCCAACCACTGTTCTGTTCACTACAATACTACTTATATGGATATAAGTAGATCACACTACACTCTGGCCAATACAAATTAGCTTCATACAATTATTTGACCTGAATAAAAGCAGTGAAAAAAGGTATCAACTTTAGTTTCCTAAATCCCTCACATAATTGGATCCCATTAAACAATTTTTATTTGAAGATTTTGTCTGTCATTTATCCCAATGAGAACTATTACTGATTTATACAGTAATTGTTTAATGTTTTCACACTTTTTTGATGTTGGTTTTTTCACACCTTTAAACATACATTTCTAGCTGTCACCCATTATAAAGATCACTTAATGTTGTCAATAATAATAGTTCACTATCAAGAAACTCAAAAAGTATCTAGTGTATTCTAATCCCTACTAAGTCTTTATAAAGAAATAATTGTTTTTATGAGATTAGAAAAACACTCAAACATGAGAGAGTTGGTTCAAAAACCACTCATTTGTATTGTGTGGAAATGAAAATAACCAACTACTTGCTGTAAAGAACAGTAAATGATCATAATATGTGGAGCGTAGATATTCATGACATTTTGTATTATTGATGGACATATAAGATCATCAAATATTAGTAAAGGTTTCTAGATTATTTATTAAAAAAAATTAGTATGTTTGTATCTTTAGAGCCCTCATTGGTATCAAGTTAATCTTTCTGTCTTTTGAACACTTTTATATTTTGTAAATCAGAAGAGGAAACAAAGACGGATAGTGGCTAGCAGTAGAATTCAGTTTGACACGCGTTTCGTACTATTTCGAACTCGTTAGCTGGATGTATCTTCATCAATGGGACGATTCAAACAAATAATGTCAAGTGAATTTAAACATCACCCCATTGCACAACCAAGTGATTATCAGGATTCAGTTGCTGAGTGGATAACGCAATGGTGTTTGAAGCGGAAGGTACTGGATTCGAGTCCCAGAGTGAACATCAACTCTGAAATGCAGATACATCCAGCTGACGAGTCTGAAATAGGACGAATGCGCTTTCTGCATTTCACTGCTAGCCACTATCCATCTTTGTTTACAATGCTTGTGAATTAAGGCTATATCGAGGCAATACGCACAGTATGCACATATGCCAATTGGAGATTGACCAGTTGCAGTCCTAAACATCAATGGGAAGATTCAAACAGACAATACTAGAAGAGGAAACAGTTTAAGTTCGCAAGCTTATCTCAATTAGTCATTTAAAGATTATATATTAATTTGATTTTAATATTCAAACAAGACGCCCAAATGTTCGTCAAATTATATGTTAATTTTAGTAAATCTACCTCTTCAATTACAAACAATGAAAATAATTTAAAATAAACATTTATATGACGCTATGTAATAATGTGGAAACACTTGAACTACTTATGAGTAGCTTAACTTCGAACGGTAAATTATCCAAGCAATTTAGCATGGAAGTCTCTTGTGATGAAGTTTGATGATTTCCGTGGCATAGTACATTCCTCATAACCATATTCTAACACTTGTGGGGATTTCATTCGCAAATATAGCATATTTGGTGAAACCTTTTTTGGCTAGCATTAAATTACTACTAACAATCGTCATTATAACTGTCCTGTTCTTTATTTGTCGATGATTTTGCTGTGTTTAATGATACCTGGTTATTTGGTTAGAACAAAACATAGATGTCCATATTCCATCTATTTAATGCTCTTCAATGCTGAGCTAAAAACCACGAATACATCTGTCGGGTCCAAAAAGCTATCGTTCACTTAGGCTTGTACTGAAATAGTTTAAGATTTAGCGACAACTTCTATTAATATCACAAGCGAAATTATTACGAATTCAAAATCAGGAACTGAGTTGGATCTCATTCGACAACCTCCTGAGAATTTTTCAATCAAATAGTTTTAAGTAGTAGTTAAGGCAGGGATAGACACCGACTATTGATAGCCCTCATCTACGCTTGAGTAAATTGTAATTTAGAGGAAATGAGGGAGGATTTCCAATCTCCTCCAAACACTGAAACATGTTTGGTGTAGCGCGTTGGTGGGTTACACTTGACAAGGAGAAGTTCAATCGTTGTTTTAGGAATTCCAAAATGGAGTATACATAGTTGTTGATGACTGTCTTGACTGATCCCCACTTATTTACGCCTGTCACCCCTCTTCAAGGAGCATAGGTCGCCCACCAGTATTCTCCATCCAACTCTATCCTGGACAGTCCTTCCTAGTTACTATTTATCTTTTGACGTCTGCTTCCAATTTTCGGTGCAGTGTGTTCTTTTACCTTCCTTTTTTCTGTTTCCTTTCAGGATTCCAAGTAGGCGCTTGCCTCATGATGCAGTTTGGTGATTTCCGTAATTTATGTCCTATCCACTTCCAACATCTTTTACTAATTTCCCCTTCAGATGGAATTTCGTTTGTCCTATCTTACAAAAGGCTGTTGCTGATGGTATCCGGTCAACGCATCTGGAGTACCTTGCCTAGAGAATTGTTTATAAATACCTGTACTTTTCTCGTGATGGTTGCAGTAGTTCACCAAGTTTCAGCTCTGTACAGTAGAACTGTCTTGACGTTAGTATTGAAGATTCTGACTTTAATATTGGATGGCAGTTGTTTTGAGTTTCATATGTTCTTCAACTGTAGGAATGCTGTCCTTGCTTTGTCAATCTTTGCCTTTACGTCTACATCCGATCATCTTTGTTTATTGATGATACCGCCCAGGTAAAGGAAAGTTTCCACTTCTTCCAGATCAAGCCCTAGAAGACAGTTATTTTTACCTTCACGAACAGTTTTAGTTAACGATATCAGAGAAATTGGAAGGCTGCTAAATGCTTCAGGTTACCTAACGGACTACAAAGGAAATTCGATAAACTTTATTTGAAAGCTCTTGATAGTGATCCTTAATGGCTTTTATCTACGAACTGGAATTCAAATTGTTTAAATGGGAAACTTTTCATCTACCAACAGGTTAAAATAAAACATACTAACAAACAACCGGAATGTTATAATGCGGAAAGTTGAATTCAATCCGCTTACACAAAGTTGTTATGAACTGTACAACAGACAATTCATCCAATATAAATACACTTTCATCATCTAAATCTCAAGGAGTTGAACTTTTATCGGGTGACTCACTTGTTGACTTAGAACACACCGATGACATAGTTCTATTTGGTGAAGACGCTGACAAAATGCAGTCTTTCTGACCACTGTAAGCAACTATGCAGGCAAGTTCGGGATGCGATTATCCAGGATTGGGTTGCATCGACACCTGAACTAATGATAGGGAGTGAAGTAGTTGAGCGTGTTGACTACATCAATTATCTTGGGAGTCTCATCAGCCCTTTTGGTCTGCTGTGTGACGAAATCTCATTACGGATACAGAAGGCTCGTCTAGCTTTCGCCAACTTGCGCCATTTATGGCGTAGGCGAGATATCCGTCTAGCAACCAAAGGACGGGTTTACTGCGCAGCAGTTCGTTCCGTCCTACTTTATGGATGTGAAACATGGCCGATAAGAATAGATGATATTCGTAGGCTACTAGTATTCGATCATAGGTGTCTTCGAAGCATTGCTCGTATATCCTGGGACCACCGAGTAAGTAATGCAGTTGTTAGGAAACGGGTACTAGGTAAGGATGGCAAATCGATTGATGAAGTAGTGAAACTTCATCAGTTGAGATAACTGGGACATGTGTTACGTATGCCCAACCACCGACTGCCCAGACGTGCAACGTTTTATGGTGTAGTAGGTTGGAAGAAAGCTAGAAGCGGTCAGACCAAAACGTGGCACAAATCCATGAAGTCACTGACAAGTGGACTGAGTCATGTTGGTAGGTGTAGACTACATGGTTGGGATCAGCGAGATGATAGCAATCGATGGTTAGAGACCTTGAATGACATGGCTCAAAATCGTTTGCAATGGCGAAGGTGCATTCACTCTTTGTGCTCTACCAAATTCTAATCTTCTGAATTCTTCATGTCTTTATCTTTTTTCCCTCCAAATTTGTTTCACCGTATTATACTCCTCCAATAACATCTTCAAACCCTAATCTTTTGGATTACTGTTTATACTTTTACTACTTCTACCACTTTGGGATTTGAATCGACAACTTCATCTCTGTATTAATGTGGTATGGCAACTTGAACTGATGTATGTACGTACGAAGTTCTACGTGTTGTGACTGACTGACTGATAAAAATACATTTCACTTTTTTCAACTTGAACTAGTCATTGACAATATTTGTTTGACAACAGTCCAAAATATGTCATATTTAGGTATGTCCTATGGATAGAAAAGTTTATAACTTGTTTTCCATTCAACTATTTTCGAAATCTATACAAATTAAGTTACACATACTAGATCAGAAAAGAAAAATGAACAACCGAAAAATTTATCATCTATTTTTATTCATTAAGAGATTTACAAAAGAAGATCATTGATTGTTGGAGATATATTAATGAAATGTTACTAGTAAATCAAAACGTATACACAGAAAATCCATACGAAGTACATAACTTAACAAACTCCATTCCGATCATCATTATTATTACTATTATTATTATTATTATTATTATTATTATTATTATTATTAACAATACTATCATTTTCGATAACAATGGTTGAATCTTCATCAATCTCAGGTTTAACAGAGATCGGTTCTGAAATAACAGTGTCGTCAACACTATTATCTAATGAATTCGACTTTTGTTCAGAAGACATGATAATATCATTGCTTTCATCAAGTGAAGCCTCTTGACTGTTAGTGTTTTCCATAACCATATGAGATGTTTTTTGTGAGCACGTGTCATCTGTAAATAATACCGAAAATGTATTTCTGTTCATCATTATTTCAATAAAAAGAAGTTGTACGATGATAGCATATGTTAAACTAATAAAAAAATACTCCATAACTTCGTATCCTGACAGTCGCGAAATGAAACCATTCTTCTTACGTCACGTATGGCGCTAACGAGATATCCGTCTATCAATTAAGGGACGAGTATACTGCGCAGCAGTTCGCTCTGTTCTACTTTACGGCTGTGAAACAAGACCATTAAGAGTAGAAGATACCCGTAAGTTACTAGTATTTGGTCACACATGTCTTAGAAATATTGCTCGCATCTGCTGGGATAACCGGGTAAGTAATAGTGAGGTTAGACACAGGGTATTATGGAATGATGATAAATCAGTTGATGAGGTCATGAATCTACATCGACTGAGATGGTCGGGCCACGTGTTAAGTATGCCTGAACACCGATTACCACGACGCGCTATGACGACTAGTGTAGGGGATTGTTGGAAGAGAGTTAGGGGCGGCCAAACCAAAACATGACATCGGTGCTTGAAGTCACTAACTTCTAGTCTGAGCCATGTTGGTAGATGCAGACTACCTGGTTGGGGTCCGCGTGACTATCGTAACCAATGGTTGGAGACTCTGGGTGACATGGCTCACAATTTATCACAATGGCGTCGGTGTATATACTCTTTATCTTCCCTTAAACCTTGATATCAAAATTGCTTCATAACTTTCTTCCTCCCTGTACTATATCCTTATATACAACCTTTCTTTATATACTACCACCACTAAATTAATTACTTCTATGAATCCGGTGTTCATCTTGTTGTGCTAACGAGGTATGGCAACTTGGACTGATGCATAAATGTGCCTGGTCCTACGTTGTAGCTGACTGACTGACTAAAACCATTCTTAAGTCTGAGGTTACAAATTATTTAAGTTACAAAATAATCTAATAGTATAATGAGGGGGAAAATAATTATATTGATAAGTTTAATTCCAAATTTTCACAAGAAAAAGAACTGCTGAACTTTCTTCAGTATATATTTATAGACAATATTTCCTTATTCGTATTAGCATTGATGATATTGTTGGGTTGAGATCATTGTACTTAAATACGACATTTACTTACAATAACAAATTCTAGAAAACTACGACGCATAACTCCAATTTTCTTTTTTGTTCCTTCAGATACTATAAGATAGCTAATAAATTAACAATTGCACGTTTGTTAAATAGGTCATTTCTGTTCATTATATACCATATATTCGGAGGTATTGTGTTCTCTAACGTGGTTAGTTCAATCTAGCCCAAGGAATTTATTTTATTTTATTTAAACACATAAATATTGGTACAAAAAGCACCAGATAAATATGCGCCTCACAAATCTCATTCGATATGTGTGAGAGCTGTGATACTGCCCAGGTGCCCAGACTGAAGCAGGTGGGTTTTTTAGGGGGCCACACCCGGAGCCTTTGACCTAAAGGTCTAATCCACAAGGCAGTGGAGCATCGTGAGGAGATGCAGTCCCATGGTAGCCGGTGACCAACAGTTGGTTCATACGCCATTCGTTCCATCAGGATACTGGAGCCCATGTGGAATCAGGGTTTTCCAACTCCTCTAGATGGATCCTTCACATCCACCAACCCGGTTAAAGCGCCGGACATTCGCTTTTCGTCCTCTCACTTTCGTAAACAACACCCCCGCCACGAGAAGGCAGTGAGTAGGACTTCCCTGGCAGAGGCTATATATTCGCGTGGCCATGTGAGAGCATTTCGAGAGGGAGAGCGGACTCTCCCCACTCTCGGCCGTACCAGGGCATTTGGGGGCGGATTGGGTGGATTTTTCCTTGGATAATAATGACGATTTATACAATTACCTTTTTCATACGTACAAATCCGTGTACTAGAGACAATGAACCACACTTTGGATGTCATAGCCACTGATACACACAAGTTTCTTAACCACTAAACCATTACTTGACAATTTATATAATAACATACAAAATATAAATCAACAATATGAAGCACGGTGAAAACATCAACAAGGGAGAAAAATAGTAACTTTATGTTGGCATATAGGGTCGGAACAGAACTAAGGAAAGACTAGGAAACATAACATTGGTTACTACTTAGTGACTAGTTGGTGTAAACGCGTTAGATCTATAGATGATTCATGGTTCATATGGTAACGCCTATGGCTGTAACAATGATTATAGAGGATATAAAGTCCTAGAGAAACACCAGTTTTCTTCAAAATTGTAAATACGACGTGCTGATAGGTCCCAAGCCCGTGGTCTTCTATTGATCGTCTCTAACCATTTAAAATTTAAACACACTATCAAAACCAGAATTCCCAATAGCAGTAGTAATACGATTATTTGATAACGGTCTTTACCTGTAACCGACAGAATTGTATCTTGTAATGTTTCGGTTGGACCTTGGTCTTCATTTTTCAAATTTGTAGGTTTATCTGAACTTGTATCTATTGATCCGTTAGAATTATCTTGTTCATGTTGTTGACATGAATACGATGAAAGAATACCAGAAGAGATATGTGATGCATTATTTATACTTGACTGACGATTGAATGTTCCTTTTTTGCTGTGACCCATATCAATTATAAGAGAAGGTACCCATTTATAAACAAGCATTGAAGTGTCCTTGACAGCGACCCATTTCTTTTCCCTAAAGCAAGGTTGGTTGAAAATAAATATCTAGATATATCGTGAACTAAAGGGACTACTGTAAAGATGTTAATCATTCGCAATTTCAGAAAATGACATTAACTTAACACCCGTTTAATGAGCGATACCTAAAACGTGTCGTTTGTATATGGTGAAATCAGTAAATCAGTTATATAGAGGTGGACAGTAAATAGGTGAGTCAATTAGTGAGCTTGCTGTGATAGTATTTAAGGTAGTTGAGGTGCTCTTCACACGTTCCAATCTAACACATTTTGAAATGGTATGAGGATAAGTGAACTTCTTTATCACTGAAGGAAGGAATTTTCCAAAATTAAGACTTTAACTGTTGAGTGACATTCAAACGCAACAAATTTGTAGATCCCTTACAAAATGAATGAACAAAAGAAAAGGAAGTAAATGCTGATGAAATAATTATATTCTATAAGATTAACAGCATATGCATCAACGACGTTGTGATTGGTTTTCGAATACACTAACTGCAATCTACGACTACTGATTTTATTCATTTCAAACGCTTCATTTAAGATGTCTGCAATCTATAAACGGTTTATATCAAGTCAGTAACCACGAATTAAATCACATAAAATTTTTCGAAGGGACTGAAACATGCTACTAGGGCTTTGGTACAGAGGAAATTAAGATTAAAAAGACAATTAACGGAATGGAAAATATCTTACCAGCTTCGAACCTGTTCATGTGATTTGTGAACTCTTTTTAGATCTTCTTTAGCTCTGCTGCGTGTTTCAGAACGTAAACTTCTAGAAAACATGGAGACGATTGACTAGTAATTTTATTTGAACAATGACAAATTAAAAGTATAATCGTATAAACGTTTCCTGATGGACAAGTTCTTGGCACTATAAATCGGACCACAAACTAGGAGTAGCTGTAAAGGGAAAAAATGACTCTTATTAACACGATATCGTTGTCTGGTAGTCTTACAGAAGTATAATTTTGAAAAGTAATCGAAAAGTAATTGAAACATCTTCCCCAAAGACGACTTGAGAAAACACTTAACCTATTTCACTTTCAGGACATATAAACAAAAAATAATCCATGAAATTTGTGGTTAAAAAGGCGTATAGAGCTTAAACAAGAAAACACCAAAATTTGATAATACTGAGAACAACTAGATTAACAGTAAATGAGTCTGAACTTTTCCATTTAGAACCATTAGCATATAGTTTCCACTACTCCAACCATTTTGGTTAGTCCACAGAAAGCAGTACACTAATAGATTATCGCTTAACTTTAGAAGTAATGTCTACCTATACATATAGCCACTAAGCCTACTAAATGTAAATGACGCTTGGTTGCGCGAGTATACAACCAAAAAAGACGTTGAGTAATATTACTTAAGATTATACAGAGTTCCGACCCATAAACGCTTGGTTTTGGTAGATTTCGTATAACTTTTCGCAATTGAAAATCCATCCCAGTAGACTTTAAGATAATGTAGGTTTGTTTTGCGGAAAATTTGATAACGTCTATGCAAGGACTGAATATATTGATATTAAGACAATCTATATTATTTATTATTATTTAACTTATCCTATATGTTAGTAAGATTATCTATGAGATCTGTTTACCACTTACTAGCAATCTTTTAGGGTACACCACCTAAAAGAGTCAAACTGTCTTACCATCTCAGCAACTTTAGAACTGTCACTGCGTGCCTATCGACCTAAAGGAAAAGTCTAGAAGGAAACACAAATGCTATAATGTTACAAGACATTGACCACAAGGACGATTATCAGTTGTTTTCAAGGGTAAAGTAGTATACTGGTCATAGAACTAACTACAATATTTGGGAAAGTATGGTAGACAGGGCTTCTCATCGCAATGAAATAAATCAACTATGATGAATTTATAGCCAGTTCTTAGCCAACTACAATACAAACTCCGTGAGTGGTTTGTGGAAAAAACAACATAATGAAGTCTAAGAACGTCTTGGATATTTATTGAATATGCAAACCTACACGTTCGTCTGTCCGCAAATTAGAGAAGCAATGACACAAACTCGCCCGTAAGCATGCCTGTTATCTTCGCGAACCCTTACGAGAGACCAAATACATTTTTAAGAATCCATACATTTTTGTTTCCATTACAAACTGATATCAGCAATAATGCGAAAATATAGATGGATGGATTTCGTGAGGAAATGTAATGGACGTTTTCTGATTAGTTCTATGAAATCCAGTGCCACTTAAGATTAAGGTCTGTTTAACGACTAGATGCCAATGGTTATTATTTAAAGATTTTGTTGATCTGTCTGTTACATACAACCTACAAAAGCTGAAATAAACGGCGTATATGATCAACATATTCTCATCGTTTCAAGATTTCTAAACAGTATAAAAGGTCGTTTTTACTCCCCTGTATCTCCAATATTGCATTTATGAACAGAAACTTATAGTTTTTGTTCTTGATCCTCATTCATCAATTCTCATACAACATTTAGACCTATACATGTACCGCAAAATGGAAAAACCCTTTTTCATTTAGTTTTGAAATCTGAAAATAAGCCTTCAAACTTATCTACACTTAATTTCGACTTCTGGCTGTGCAAAAACAAGAAATAAAAAAGTAGAGCAAAAAAGAGTTGTCACACAACAGTGTTGTTGCCTACACATAAGACCCAAATTTATGTAGCGCAAAGTTCACTTTTCCGCCTTAACATCTACCATCTGTAAACTTTCAAGAGCAATTGTTCAAACCCTATTGTTTTTAAAACAGAAATCGTGAACCGAATGCTTCAAAGCAGTACTTAGCTACGTTTATTAATCTCAAAATATCAGGGGTGATGGACTTCTGGTAAGGATATTACCGATGCTGCCTGGAGCAGACTTGGAAACATATAACAAGCAAATGAAAAATGGTGGCATGTTATTATGAAGTACTGTCCTTAATCCATAAGAGACCTCTAGGAAGTTGTTTGTATTGCGTGAGCTGTCAGTGAATTGCTGGATTGGGCTATTTGTAAAGAGCAGATGTGTAGTGATCTGCTTTTCTCGACGAGAACGCGATTGGTATAATGGAAACAATTATTATTATAACCAGTCGTACCAGCGATTGTTTTGCTGTACTCGCTTTGTTCAACTGTATCAAAAGCACTTTTTGTTCGAACTTTCTTGTGCTCTGCCTTTATGCCTGTACTCATTGGCACGTCTCGGTATTCTTTCGATACCACGAGATCGCCAATAAATATACTTTACCTGGACCAGCTGCAGTCTTCTGGTTTACAACCTATCGAAGGAACCAAGTCGTTTTTGGGCGCGTAATCTTACTGTAGTGGTGATCACAGTCAATCGAGACTCGACGCCATCTACAGATGTGTCTGCAGGTCATTTTACTGCATTGTACCTCTAGCTCCAGTTGTACCGCTACCAAAGTCTGAGTCATTAGTTAAGTTATGTGAGTATTTTTAAGGATGAGGAGGTTTCGGGACTTCGTAAGTAATCAAAAGTCACTTTTGAATCGCCCATACTTTAATGTGTACAGATCTAGGAATCTAAGACGCTCTTCATAAGAATTTGTCTGAAGTCCTCAAACTGACTTAGTGGTTCTCATTTATAGCCGGTGAAATGACCATATACAAGGAGAGATGTGATCATAATTCAGGACGTCAATTAAAAATACTTCCCACCCTAATAGACAAATGTCACGTCTCAGTAATGAATCACACCTAAGATAATACCCAATCAGGTCAGACCACGAAATTAGAACAATATATGTACGCAAACAATATTTTTTCGATTAGATCCTTACCAGGCTTCACTCTACAACACAATAATATTTCTAATCGTATACGAAATTATTAAACCAATCAAGGCCGTTTATTATCTAGTGATAACAGTGGAAAAGATTACAAAAATAAAAGTAAAATTTACAAAATGATAGTGTGATGATAGGTGTGCTAGTTGTGATGAGGATGATAAAGGCTTGTGGGCATGTTTCGTAGTGGGACTTAGGTCGATGACTTGAGAAATTATAGTTGAAATAATATTTTATAGTATAATAAGAAGATAAAAATTATCAGAACCATGTGATATATTAGTGCAATACTTTTCGAACAAACTAACCATATATATGTCTGTTAAAAACATTTATATGTGAAGATGAAAGTTCAATTGGACTAAAAATGAAGGGTAAGAGTAGACAAGGATAATGAAGAGAATAATATGAGAACAATTTGGAACCTCATCACTCTGGATAATAAGTTAATATCACTAGAATAGGTTTAAGGTGTGACCAAAGGATTACGCAATAACAAGTGTTCAAATAACTAAACGATGAGGCGTATGACATTAAATAGGAATAATATATTTGTAAAATCTCAGCGAATGAATTTTTTAAATTAAATCCAACGTTTCGCCTGACAATCTGGTCCAAGCTTTTTCAAGGAATTATAATCAAACATCGAAATTATCGATAATTATTATATAATTATTATAATTATTCGATTATTCGATTATATAATTATTATAATTATTCGATAATTTTGATGTTTGATTATAATTCCTTGAAAAAGCTTGGACCAGATTGCCAGGCGAAACGTTGGATTTAATTTAAAAAATTCATTCGCTGAGATTTTACAAATATATTATTCCTATTTAATGTCTTATTTCAACTCGGCGCTCAAATACTGTGAAACTATTCGTTCTAATTTAGACGAGAGTTCTTATAGATGAGGCGTATGTTTGGAAAAAATGTGGGGGGGTGAAAAAAAACTGAGAAATAGTATGGAAATTCATGAAAAATGGAATAATTTATTAAGGTTAAAGGAGAGGTAAAGATGTAGCAAATTTCTTATGAACCTAAAGACTTGGATTTATAACTCGAGTTCCTATAGCTTCTGCTATGTGTAAGAGACGAGATGGAAACCATAAGGAAAATTAGTGAGAATACGATAAATAACTCTAAATGACCTGTTTCTGTCTACTATATGACGGCTATCGATCAAGTGTGATAGTACAGAGCTGCGTATTAACTTAACGGTACCCTTTCCTAACCATAAAGGGATTTGTTCACTAAATCGTTGGCTCAGTTGTTTGGTAATGCGCCCAATATAGCTTTCTCCACAGGAGCAGTTGAATTCTTAGATACACATAAATGTGGCAGGATCGGTTAAATTATCCTTTATTTGAGGAATCACCATAGTTTGGATCGAGTATGATAGACAGAGGTTACCTATGCTGAACGTTCTTATGATCATTGAAGGTATTCTAATTACTGTATTGACTAAGAACTCGTGAAATAGTGCAACTTAGGCCAAACAGAACTACGTGAACACAAACGAACATATTGTATTTGGAATTCGAAATCAACCAGGAATGAAGCATCAAACAATAATTAGTCTATATAAGCACCACAAACGCCACAGCTCCAATGGGAATCGAAATTTCTGTAATTGATTGTACCTCTTCTCCTCAAGTATATCCTGTGTCTTTGCGACAGTGTATTGTATATAGACTCTATATTATCTAGAATGTACTCTTTAGTATCAGAATTAACGACCAAAATTAGAACAAACTCACTCATCGTTAAACCATAGCGGCTAAGGAACGTGCTAAAGATTTTTCAGGATGGTAAATGAACACTGAAGCTTCATGATCAGTAACAGTAGTGAATTTCTTTCCAAATAAATGTCTATGACGTTTTTTAACAGCCCAAACACACAGCTAATGCTTCTCGCTGAGTTTGTGAATAACCTTGTTCAGCAACAGTAAGCTTGCATGAAACACATATTTGTGTTCTACTTTCCCTGTA